AGAATCTTATAAAAACTGTCTAGATCAAAAAATAAAAAAAACTGTCTAGATCATCTTTTAAATCATAAAAATACAAATGCATTTTCTCCTAGAAACATTGATGTTGCATTTATAGATACCTGGGGTTAAATGCCTTAATACTGTAAAGTCCATTTTACATCATTATAAAAAAAACACAGCTCATATTGTAAGCTCCTATCTTCATTAAATGTTTGCCCCTTTCTGTTTTGAGTGGCTGCTTTAAAGATCTGACATTCCATAGGATATGTGTTTTATTCAGCTCCAGATTTGTAGAATTTTAAGAAATGTCTTATATTTGATGGAATTGTTTGGTTGGTTGGTTTTTGATATAGTCTTCCCTATTTGGCCCAGGCTGGCCTCAAACAGTCTTTTTACTGAGGTATCTAGGTTACTGAGGTCATGAAAAGACTGAAACAAAAAGAAGCAAGTATGTTTCACATTCTAGAAATCATCGACTTGCTGTACGACTAAGCAGAATATTATTATGCGATGAAAAGTACTGCAGCACTCTGAAGACCCCTGTGGAAGGCCTCACCCTCCCTGGGGAGCAGAAAGGGTATGGGATAGATAGGGTTTTAGTTGAGGGGGTGGCAGGGGAGTAGGGGAGGGAGAGGGAACTGGGATTGACATGGAAAACAATCTTGTTTTCTAATTCAAATAAAAAAAATTGGGAGGAAAAAAAAGTACCAGAGTGACACAAATTTAATCACATTTCTAAATTCATAGCTTCTATAGGTCAAGAGTCCATGGTTTAACTGGGTATTTTTTTGCTTCCAGTGTCTCTGCATGTTTGTGAACAGTTGTTAGCTGAAGTTGCAGTCCATCTGTGTTTGCAGCCTCCAGGGGTTGGTAGCAAAGGTGAGTAACTTGACAGTTTTAGAATGAGAGGCTCAGTCTCTAACTGTCTGTGTACCAGCGGCTGCTCACAGATCTTGCTGTGTGACCCTTACCACACAGAAGCTTGTTTCACCAAAATAGTGCCATAAAAGACAAAGAATATAATCATGTATGTGACATTCTACTAGCCCTTCTAACATGGTCTTTGTTAGAAAGCATGGTTTAAGTAGAAGGTATTACATAGGTATGCACTGTCAAGAGACAAAGATAGAAGCTGCCTTCAAGTGTGCCTGCCAATGACATGAGCACACATAAATAAGGTGTGAGCATGTAGAATACTCACACAAATACTCTTGACTAGATCATGAAAATAGCCAAACATTTATCTGAAAGTGCTAAATTCTTCTAAATTCAATATAAAGGGAAGAGGGTCTAATGGTAGAATTCTTTCTATCCAGAATAGATACATTGCAACACATGAACACAAGTAGTTGAGCCCAATGGTCACCATTGGTTCATTAAGCTAATGCGTAGGAAGAAATTATTTTTAAAAGATGATTGGAATATGAATATTGGAGGCATGTAATATATTTTTGTACCCTGGGAAATGTATAGCAAAAATGTTTTATTTGGTCTTTGGCACATTCAGTTGATTCCAGCCATTTGAATAACCAGTTAAAAACGCACAGTGGACACAAAAGAAGATAGAGGTTTAGGAACCAGTGTTGGAAAAATATCAATTAGCTACATCACAATAAGTATGCATAACAAACAACCCCAGTATCTCAATGACTTGAAAAACAAATTCTTATTTCATTCAGTCAGAAGTTACAGATTGGCAGTAGGTTGGTTACCTGATCTCAATTCCATTAGCTGTGCCAAAATGGGTTTTGTTGGACTCTAGACTTTTGGTTGAACTCAGGTCTGTTCTACATGTGTTCTTTTTGTTTTCCAGGTGTATTCTGGGAGGAGAAGTTTGTTGTAGTCATTTTTCTATTTCTGTAATAAAACACCATGACCAAGGCAACTACTGTCTTAGTTAGGGTTTTATTACCATTAAGAGACACCATGATACCTGGGCAGTACACACCTTTAAGAAGTGACAGTGAGCCACTAGGTCTGGCTTGAGCTTCTGAGACCTCAAAGTCCACCTCTGGTGACACACGTCCTCCAACAAGGCAATGTCTCCTAATAATGCCAACAAGAATACACTTGTTAATCCTTCCCAAATAGCCACCAAAGTGGAAACCAAGAATTCAAATGGCACATCTCATTCAAACCTCCACACAGCTACATGCAGCATATTTGTGTTCTACATATGGCAGATGACAGAAATACAAACAACAAAGGGACAGTGTGTTCTTAAAGCTTTGTCTCAGAATTCACAATGTATCAATTCCACTTGCATTCTACTGGCTTAAGCAAGCCATCCCACAAAAAGGCCAAGATAATATGGTGCTGGAATATATTCTGCTTAGTCTAGTTGGAGGTGATGTGAAGTTCCATGACTGAAGAGGTGATGAACCATTCCAATATAAGGAGAACTGAAGAAGGAGAAACAGTGGTACAAGGCTATTGATCACAGGTGAAGGGACCAGCTCCGCATTTCGGCAGCTATAATGCCGAAACACATACTTGCCTGACCTTGTCTTGGTCACTAGAAGGTCAGATGCCTGCCTCGTGGCAAGGAACCAATCAGAAGTTAGTTGGTGGCGTTATGCTTTACGGCTCTGGGTGTGCTTTACGAACAAGTGCATAGCAATGACCGCAGAGCATAGCAACCACCCTGGGAGGGCCTATGGGCCATAACAACCAGTTGACCAATCAACACAGGGCAAACCCTCCAAGCCTGGAGGCACACCAATCCTGAGCTTGTGCGTACCCCTAGACACTCCCTATAAGATCTTACACTGCCCTATAAGATCTCTATGCAGACGTTTTGAGCCGTCTTTCTAGCCATCTGCCATGGCGGGTGGATGGAAGGCCCAAGCTAACATGGGGTTAGCTCATTAAACAACTACAATAAAGCCTCGTGATGTTTGCATCAAGCTTTCGCCTCCACCTGGTGGTGAAATCCTGGGCTGAGATCCTGGGCTGAGATCCTGGGGGCCTGAGCTTCTGGGAGTCTTTCACAGGGAGCCAACAGCAGAAGCTGGTCAAAGTGCTTATAACAACCATTAGGAGCTTTAAAAGAATAAGGCTCAATATCATGAAACTGTCTTCACAGGCCATGCACTCAAGCAGCATTGTGCTACATTCATGTGTAATTCTCTATAAAATACAAAACCTACTTTATAGTACTGTAATAAAGGTAAAGATTTTACAAGCACAGGGGTCTTAAAAATTATGGTTCCCATGGCAAATATAACATAGCCTTTTGTGCCCATATACTGTAAAGACAGAAGTCCTAACTACAATCCAAAAGGAGAAATCATGAATATTCAGGCATAAGGATGCTGAAAGAGTTATAGGCTCAGTTAGAAAATTATTTTTGGAATTTTATCTTATGGACAAAGCCTCAAGTAATATACAACATCGTATACTGAATGTTTTAATAGGTGACTTTATAAAGTCATTTTCTTTCCTTTAAAAAGGCTACAATATCATCATCCAAATAAAATGAAACATGTTTTCTTATTTTCTGTTTTTGTTCCAAATTTCAACAGTTCACTTGAGAAACTTGACTTCATGAACCTGCAGAACTGGTGTGATTGTTCTGTGTACTTTTTAACACAGAGAATCCATGATCACCTGTTTTTAGATTACTAAGTGTTTTCTGAATAGTTAAGGTAGGATAATATGATATAATCCACAGCTTGTCGTTAATCTGGCTATTTGAAGGGCATTAGAATTTGTGCCATAGTAATTAAAATTTAATTTTAATTCAGTTTGCACACTTAAATACCAGAAGTTGTAACACTGTTCTATCAAAAGTACTTAAAGAACATAATGGTATTCCTTCCAAATTCTGTAGCGTCATAATGTGTCACACGTGTAGCCAACTCCCCCTGATATCAAATTATCAATTCATTTATGTATGCCTTAAGACATGAACAGATGCATTCTGGAAAAACTGGAGTAGAGCTAAATTTCATATATCAGAATATTCTCTAATTTAACTTTCATATCTTATGTTAAAATATTTGAAGGTATAGTCCTACAGCAAAAGCCTGTAGGGGCGTGTCTACTATTGAGATTCACTAGGGGACTGTCTAGACATATCTCATAGGCAACCGTATGATTTCCTGTTAAAATGCCCACAAATATACAGAAAATAAGAAAACCTGGCATATGGCCCTGTAGACTCAACGTGAAAGAAGACAAGTTGTTAAGGAATCTGTGGAATTTCAACTAACTGCTTCTTTGATCACAATGGGCTGAAACCCTACTGAGCCATTGTCCATGAGTTCCTCACTCTGAGAGAAACATAATGGATGATGAAAAACAAGGACAAATAAAACAACACATCAAGACAAGGAAAATTTTGGCATGTCCTTGGAGATTGCCTTTAACTCCACTGTACAGATACTTTGCTGATAGCAAATAAATGTGAATGGAGCCAATGGGAGATAAACTTCTGTTTTTGTTGAACTTAATTTGGTTAACATTTATCTCTCCAGGAATTCAGAAGCAATTCCTGCATGCACTACATCAGAAAGAGAGGTGGGTGAACAGAGAGGAGCCGAACCTTGGGATTCTTATTTACTTGATGATAAGAGCTAAAAACAGGCATGAATAATTGTATTTATATATGACACTCTTCAAAGAAAATCGCAATTATTGGAGAACTTAATCAGACACCTCAGTGTGGGTAAGAGGAGAAAGTAGAAATATCAGACACACACACACACACACACACACACACACACACACACACACACACACAGGTATAGAACCACTGGCATTTAGTTACTTGTTTATTTGGATATATACTTAGGATTGTACACATGGTCTCATTTATACCTGCCCTTCCACTTAGCTATACACTCAGTCCCTGTCAGACATATACTAATGTCTGAGGCCAACAGTTCTCAGTTAGTGCTCCATTGTTTTTGGAAGGAACAAATTTTCTTTATTGTATATGGACAATTAACACCATGGGCATTTCTTTCAGTGTGGTCCAAGTATTAATGTGAGCATCAAAGGCTCATGGCCTTGGGGAAGAGAGCAATAATCAGTTTATTATGCTTAAAGATTCCATGGGTCAGGAATTGGATTGTGATATTTAAGATGGTTTGGCACTTCTTTATATAAGCTGTTGGGAAAAGGTTAAGATGGGGGTGGTTGGCTACTAGGGGCTGGAATCATCTAAATGTGTCTCTAGCCATATATGTGGCATAGGGCAAGATGGATTAGAAGTCTGGACTGCCCATCCATGCCTTTCTTTGGAGCCTCTCTTTTTTGCTTTGCTCTACTCTGCAAGGTACCCTCAGATTTGCATGCACCCAGAACCTAGGACTCAGAGTTGGAGTGTAACACAAACTGATATTGGGGTTCAAGCTGAAAGAAAAGAGAAATAAAGCAGCCAAGCCAGTAGCTCTTACCTCTACCCAGGCTGAAGCAATCTTGCCCTCAATGTGGCTGGAGACCAAAATGCTCTAGACTGATCTGATCATATCTTATATACCTCAAGTGTTGGGATTAAAGGCATGTGATCAGAAGTGCTGAGATCACCTTTGTGCGAGCTCTGTTTCTCTTTATGACTGGATCAATTCCATGTAGCTCAGTGTGGTCTTGAACTGACAGATATCCATCTGCTTGTCTACTGAGTCCTGAGATTAAAGGTGTGTGCCACCATTGCCTGGCTTTATGCCTTGAGACTAGCTTTACTTTCTGAACCCTCAGGCAAGGTTTAATAAATCATAAATAATATATCACCAAACTGGAGTGTTTCAGGGAACAAAGTAACAACTTCCTGGCCAGCATTACTTCTGCATAATTCTATATGTTAAGAATGAATTTAACATGCCAACATTTAATCCTATAGGTTAAGAGTGAACTCAGAATGCCAACATTTGAGATCAGGAGCAGTTGTGTTTTCAATGGGAAGAATGTCCAGGGCAATATTAGATCAACTTTAGAAAATAAAATCTGACACAACCTGTCACTAAGATAATGCTATAACAATTTAACCCAAATGCAATGACTCAGAAAAACACAATTTATTATCTTCTTTGTAATAAAGGTCAAAAGATTGACACAGAGTTTACTACACTAAAATCAAAGTGTTCCCTTTTTGGGAGGGGGGATTTGGGACTCTTCATTTGGACTGTTAGTGGAATTCAGTTCCTTGTGATTCCTTCATTCCTTCCTTCTTCATTTTCTTGATAGATTACAGGTAAGGGATATCCCTGGCTTTTAGATGCCACTCACATTCCTTGTTTGTGGTCACTTTCTTCCTTAAAAGCCAATCATGCCACCAAGTCACCCTCCTGTAACATCCCTCTGACCTTTGTTAGACAATCATAGCTCTCTTAGACCCAAACATAGAAATGTAGAAAGGATCTCTTTCCTTTTAAGGACTGTGCTCATATGTTGTACCCAGTAGGATAAGTCCAGATATTCTCTTCATAAGGCCTATAACACCTTAAAGTTTCTTTTGTTGTTTAAAGTAACATGGTAAGGTTTCAAGAATTAGTATAGAATCACAGTATGAATGGAAGAACCAGGGTGCTGCCTGCATATCAAATACTTTAGGAAAGCTACTGATGTTCTGAAGTTTTCCTTTCGGAAATGGCCAATCCCTGGCTATATATGTCCCATAAGTGTGATTTTGCACATCAACTTGGCCTTCAGATTTAGATCTGTGACTGACTACTCAATGACACTTAAGCCAATCTGTCTACTGGAAAACACTGGGCACAAACAATTATGCTCTATGAATTCCAAAAATTGCAGGCAAAAAAAAAAAAACTATTTGTGATGGTTAGATGGCCTACCAGTTAAGAGTGCTTGCAGATCATGCAGAAGACCCAAGTTTAATGCCCAGCACCTGCATCAGACAACTCATAAATGCCTATAGCTCCA